AAATAAATGCATTCCTCAACAGCACTATTCTTAATATAATCCCCAAATTTAAGCTCTTAATATCTTGTTAATGATTTTTTAAAATTCGCCAAAATTAGTGGCTAAAACGCCTCGTTAAGTGCTATCTTAAACTGGTGTTATCTTAAACTGGTGTAAATCGTTGCAAGAAACGAATTATGACTGAGAGTGTACGGATACGATAGTTACAAACGCGTTACACAAGAAACCAGCACTTAACGAGGCGCTTTAGCCACTAATTTAGGCGAATTTTAGAAAATCATTGACAAGATATTAAGAGCTCAAATTTCGGGATTATATTAATAATATTGCTGTTGAAGAATGCATTTATTTTCATCATGATATTTCAAAATTTAAAGCCCTTTAATTTTTTTTTCTTGGAAACTGAAGTAATTTATTTTTCCAAAATTTTAATTTTTTAAAAAAATTACTTTTTGAGATATTATGCTTGTCCGAAAATTATAAGAGGTGCTGTAATCACCTTAAGATATTAATTAATTCGAAGTGAAGATAGGTCTGCATCAAGGTTCAATCTTAGGTCCTTCGAGGGAGATATCCCATGGAGTTTAATATTGACGGATGATGTAAAGATGTTGTGAATAAAGTAAGAAGAGTCGTTTAAGCGGACGGAAGAAAGTGGAGTGCTTCGTAATAAGCTAATACCAGATAAATATAAGGGAAATTTCCACCAACAGAATAACTGTTATATCAGCCGTGATGTTGGTACGTATCAGAAGTTTCTGAGATCAAAATTATGAGGTCATTGATTGTATTGGGGGTATTTTACGACTTGTGCTTGTAAGTAGTGACGGGAATACCGGTTACTGTTATACCGCGATTTTGTAACATAATAAGTTGCGATTTGTAACTAGGCGTATATATCCCGTCGTTTCACGGAATTAAACTTGTTAAATATATGTTTTATTTTTCACCTAATTTTATTTTTCAGTTAAAACAGTGACATTTTTCATTTTTCAACATTTACCTACAACAGAAATTCACTACACTTATTGTTTGTTTAGTAGTTGTAAGAAAAAGTTGTCAAATAGGAAAATGTTACCTCAAATTGCTCCAAATATCTAAATTATGAAGCCCGCCACTTTTTAAATCGCTTTACTTAGTAGTGTCCTACTTTATCGACTGAAACTGACAGGTGTAGTTCAGCAGTAAGCGCTTAGCGCGCTATTGTCGAGGTCAAGCGAACTTGTTACCATCTATTTACATGAAATTCGACCCCCGTGGCCTTAACTTATATTTCTGTTATTAATAATTGAACAAGAGAATTCTTTTAATATGGGTTGATTACGATGTTATTCTCTATAATTTGTATCATATACAGTATACCGGATTTGATTTTTCTTGACAAGATAATAATATCCATTTGCATAGTTACAGTTTACACCGTACTGGCCTTAGCCGATGAATAAACAGGCAGCCAAACCCCCAAAATCTTACATAGAGGATTCTTCTAAAATGGACCATAAGAGAAAAATTTGAAAAAAAGTGCAAATGTTGAATTTGTTCAATATAAATTATTAAGATATGAAACATTAAATAAAATGTTTACCTTTAATTTATATTCAAAACACTTTTCATAAGATATTTAACTATACCTATTTACAGGATTTCTAAATTTATTTATAACACAAAGATAAAACTGAATAAAAAGTTGGAATTCATTAAAAATAATTCATTGATAATGTCTGATAAAGTAGTATACTATTTCTGATAAATAATTACTATATCATATGCCGTGACATTGCAATTTTGAAATAAATGTGGAAATTATAAAACATATCGTATTTCACAGAATGTTATCATATGTATTCTACAGAGCGTCCCTGAATTTTATTTATTTGAGAACACAATACTTTCCGCCTTGTTTAATTATGCATAATTTATGATAGTTACATATAAAATCAGAATATTTCATAGTCTTGTTACATAAGCATTTTGCGATTAGTACGAGGAATGGTTTGAGGTCCCATAAGTGATTCTTAATTGTCATATAGGGATTGAAATAGAAAGAAAAAAAATACCTTTGACTATTTCGCCAGACCAAATATCAGCGACTATTTCTCTAGAGAAAATTATGTCTAACCAAATTGATATTAAAATATTTTCGAGATTTAGACGCAACAAAAACAGCTATTTATCAAGATATTGGTATATTACCCTTGATTAATTTCGGTTTTAAATAACAAAAACTGTAAATAAGAGGTGTAAACGAAAAATATTAAGGAAAGTATACTTGCTGTTAGAGAATGAGAATTTTGAAAGGAATACATTGAGGTTCCATGGCAACTACAACGTGTTAGAGCGAGCACGAAAATAGAAAGATATGCAGTCAATAAAAATAGCTGAACTTTTAGCACTGAGTCGAATTAATATTATATTTTTATCTGCTTGAAAAAAAAATATGTTTTGCCGTTGTAGCTATGAAAATATTTATTTAGAGGCATTAATTTCTAATCAAACATCGCTCGCTGTTTTTATATATTTGTACTGACATTCTCAAAGTTGTTCTTCTCAACCAGACCACCAAAAATGTTTACAATTGCTTTTCGGTTTTATTTTTATTTTAAGCCATTTCATTGGTGAATCTCACACATATTAAAAATTTCAACTAACCAAAAGATGGATATATATTGCGCTATAAGACAAAGACCAGAGAAAAGAAGAAGGCGCAACATAACAAATTGTCACCAAAGCATAAAATGAAAGAATCTAAAAACTGTTTAGCATCAGTATTTTTAAAATGCCAAAAGTGGTAAATGAAGTAAAGAAAACTTGTTTACATTTTTAAATACTTTATTAAGATTGAATAAAAAAGCCAAAATACACGTTTTTAGTATGGGAGTCTCTTTAATTTGTAATTTATTTTTATTATTTGTTGTTATAGCGACAACAGAAATACACATTCTGTGAAAATTTTAGCTGTCTACCTATTACGTTTATAACGTGATATCTAGTTATTATATCTACTTGTTATATGTGTTTGAGCTCAATTTATTGGGCGTGGGTTAGGTTTTTAAATAACTCGAATAACTTTGAAAAAGAAGTTGGGAGCCACTATATTTTAATCTTACTACACTTGACTCTAGATTAGTAATAAAAATATAGAAAATCACTAACCACTAACAAATAATACTTAAACCATGCTTTAGATAAGGTAAATTCTAATTCACATAAGTTGTACTAAATCCAAATTTAAAACTTCCACAAAGGGATTCGGGATCCTTATTCGTAATTTTGCATAATTCTGCAACGTGAATGATTTTCTGATATATGGTATTCAAACTCAACCGAGTTGGGATGAAACGTGTGAATGATCTTCAGTATTCAAACTTGAACTCGAACTCGAAACTGTCTAGAGATGAAACGTCTAAAGATGAAATCCAAGAAAACATCTAGAGATGAATCCAAAACCGTCTAGATATAGCCATGAGCTTATAAAATCAGACAAATTTTAAGATAAATAAAAATCATTTATTACATCGGATGACCATGGAAATGGAAACTTTTGACACAAGGCATAAACGACAAATGACATTTGAGTAGGAGGCGATTGTGTCGAAATAACAAAGTAACGGTTCCAAACGTTACACGTTTTTTGAGATAACACCGGCTGACAGACAGCGGAAGCTTAGTACTGGTTACTCTTCGGGTAAAAATTATGAACCATCTACTTAAAAATTAGTGTTCGACGAGTATTGGCTAACACCGACTAATAAAAAAGAGACATCTCTTGGAAACGTTGCCAACTACATAATATAACATCTGTATGCTGGCTTATAAGCTAAAAGAGGCATCATCATTTCAGGAGGATTCACACAATGGGCCTAGTGAGGCCTAAGCAATGTGGGCCATCTTTCTCATCTCACAAGTAGAAGACTATTATTTAACTTTTTTATTTGATAACATAAATATATTTTGGTGGATTTACATTTCTCAATATATTTATCTTTATGGGTTATAAGCAGGTAGGGTTAGTGTTAAGTCTTGTTGTATTTTATTGGCTCATTTTTTTGTTATATTAATTTAATTAAAGCCATTAAACTGTATGTACCTATTTTGAAAAGGAGCGTCATTAGTTTTCACATGTTGACTGATAATATTTATTGAAGCTCCAGAAAGGGTCTAAGTTTTATTATTAATATTATTACGAGACGACGAAACAGAATAAACCCAGAAAACTGCGTTCTCTTGATCTATTATATTCTCTTGCTTTTCCAGTATTCAGGTACTCTGTTTGAATGATGATGCCCCTTTGGTTAGTTTTACTAGATTCTTGGACCACTCTGTCCTGTTCTAGGCCAAAAAGGGCAAGTCACCGTCTACCTAGAGCTTCGAAGATATTGTGGTGGAATCATTGCCTGATTCCATCATAAGAAGTCATTTCAGCAAAAAGTGTCCCATTAGTAAACTCACGATGGTGTATATTTGGTGACTTGCGAAATGTATTTTTTCAGCAGCCATGTGTGTATTTAGTCTCCATAACATGAACTTACTGATTATGTGCCCTCTTATCTGTTGCCAGTGATTTTGGATTTAGTGGTTACGCACTTGTTTACTTCCTGCCAAGCAGAGTTTTTGCTTATCCTAAATACAGGTTCGGGTATTGTAAATGCCATCTCAGATCTCTTTTTGTCCCAATAAATTTCCCAATAAATTTCAGTTTTCTCAAAGACGGTGGTAGTTACCAATATCGATCAAGAATTCTTTATTTTTAGAAAAGCACTTGGACCATCTTGACCGTCACGCCTAATCTAATAATATAAAGTCAGAAACTTGTATGTACTTCCTACAAACCTAAATTTAATTATTTTGTGTACTATATTTTTCAAGATTTTATTAAAACATAGGGTCGTTTAATTTAGAAGTGTTTGTTAAATGATTGACAAACCTACTAGCATAATAACTGACTTGAAATGTTGAGCCATCCTATATAAGTTAACTTATTTATAATTCTAAAAAATTATGAAAATCAATATTAAATACGTCGAACGTTACAACTGTGCCAGATTAAAGTAACTGGCCACAATAACTATTTTATTCTGTGTTGTACACTCGATCTGAAAATCCTTGGGGTAAAAAGTATCGACAGAAATCGAATTGTTTTTTTTTTTAGTTCATATCAATCATTGCGTTGCGTTGGTAATCTTTGAAATCAATCTTGTTCTGTTGGTGTTGGTATTTTTAGTACAGAAAAAATTTAACAGTAAGTATTACTTTTTGTTTCTTTTGATAATAAGGAGTACAGTGTGACATAATAAACAATAAATAATTTTTTCTAATCGACAATGCGCTATTACATATGTTATGCATTTAGAGGTTATCTTAGGTTAATACTAATATTGTAACAACACATAATAAACAAGTAAAAATGTACAGAGAAAGTACATGTTTAGGATATAACCTACTCATAATAGTTTATACCAAGGCTGGTAAGTGTAACACTTAAAAGCACGTGGTGAATACGACTACTATACTTCATTTTTCAACTAGGCAGTGCGATATGAATTTTTGGTCCCTCAACGCCCAGCTTATGATTTGTTATCTTTACAGACAATTTCACATATACCAGAATATCTAACAATATTTATTTATCTATCGTGGACCAAAATTCTTTAGGTCTGAAACGAGAATAGAGTTCGTTGCAGTACATACAAGCTGCTTCTGATTCATCCATAACTTCCTCATCACTGTTTTCTTTTATTTGTTTATCGATTTTTCTTCTAGCTGCTTTTGCTGTTTTTCTTCTTTCTTTTTCTAATGCTTCTTTTTTGTTCTCCTTAATTTTTTCTATATCTATTGTACTGTTGATAACACCAGTCTTTCCACATTTTCTTTTCCTTTAAGTTTGTTTTATTGTCGCTATCGAGAGAAAATACTTCTTCAATTGGCTCTCTGCTCATATGTTTAGATGTGTTTGCAATTGGGTCACTTCCCTTGGAAGTCTGTAAGTTTATTTTATTGGGAATACTGCTAACATGCCTGGTTTCGTTTAAGATGTGATTCTCAGTTTCACTTTGCGCTTGTTCTTTGCTATTTAAATTAGTGGGTTCTGATTTATTATTTGTTATTTCCAACTCGCTATGTTTTGTTAAAGCAGCAGCAAATTTCCAGTCGTTAAAAACATATGTATTTCACTTTTATTAAAAGAGCCTATTCCATTTGATGGAGTGGCACCCTTGAGGTATGCGTTATTGAAAAGTTTTGTCACTTGGAAGTGAATGACAGTCCGTCCTGGGTTACCTCTCATACTTTTTTGTATTTCTATATTACAAAAAGTTTGAAGTGGTGCAAAATTCAACATCGAAGGGTTGTACGCTATGGTAACAATGCGCCGGTAGACAAAATAGTATAATACCAATTTTCCTTACTATATTCCAGTACGTCCAATCCCTTGTGACTACTATGCCCATCGAGGATTAAAAGGACTTTCTATTCTTTCGATGCTTTAACGTGCAAGACATATTGCTTTAGCCACTTCCAATTTGTTTCCATCCTTTTAAGGCAAGAATTTTGGGAAACTTTGCTGGAAATGTATTCATGCTAGTTTCGTCAACATTGAAGATATTTTTGAGAGAAAATTTATATTTATTGATAGTTTCTCCAATGCAACGAAAAAATAACCTAATATTTTCTTTGTTAAAAGTCTGTGCCCTTGCGATAGATGTCTGCTCAGGAGTTGTAACGGTTATCGTTGGATTCCTTGCGAGAAACCCTCTAAGCCACTTTCTACCAGCCATGCCTTTTTCTTTAATAAATTGGAGGTTAGTTTTATGCTTTTCCGCCAATTGATAAACATCTTTCTTAACTATGCACCGGTGAGTCTAAAAAGCCTGGTTTCTAAATTAAAACATGTTTGACAATTTCAGCTTTAACATCGACATCAATGTAGGCTTATGTCCACCTAAATATCCATTGATACTGCCACATACTTTGATTATGTGGATACTGCTCTGTTCATTTTTAAGCCTCCTACGCAGTGTCGTTCTCGGCACTCTAAACGTTTTTGCTGCTGTTGCATAGCCCATTTTTTATTTTGTAAAGCTTCTTAGGCTTCTTCATCCCTCTGCTGCCTATTTCTTGACGTACACTGAAATTAAAACAGGAATAATTTTTATTGCTACATCTATTCCTATGATGGCCTCGAGGCCATCATAGCCTAAGCGTCATGTAACGCAAAAACAACAAAAACTTTTCATATAAAAACATAATCTCTTAAAAGTACTATCAAATGTAATGAAGACCAGGGCTGGTATATCTAAGGGGGTCGTGACATAGACCCGGTAAATGGATGAGGGGGCGAAATAGTAGTCAGCTTAAGTTGGCAACACTTTTCTGATATTCGTTTGGCGAAATTCATGGTTATGGTTTGTCCTGCCGTAATAGTATTATAAAAATAGAGACAGATCTACTTTTAAGGGGCACAATAATGTCAATATGGTACAAGTGGAATGAACCACTGTTTTCCTCGTAGTGGAATTAAAACTAAAAACATTTTGTACTTTTTTATATTCCAAATTATGAACTTTATTTCCACTTTATTTTAATGTTACATGAATAGGTACATGCGTTTGTGCTGTGGTAAATAAGAGTTCATGTGAAAATTATCTCTGAAACTGCATTGTAACATTCTCTTTCAACATTTTTAAGTGACTAATTTTGTGGTTTGGCGAATGGACTCAGTTACCACAGTCAAAAAATTTAAATTAAAAAAAAGTTATAATAAGAATATTAAGAATACATAAGTTGAATATAAAAATGTAATTACTTGATTTAAATGTGATTTAAATAAGAGTTATACTCGGACAAAATATTGGAGAAGGTGAGTCATATGCATGATCAACACTGTTGTCTATGAATGAAAATTCTGACAGAGGCGGCGTATCAAATACCAAATAATTATTAATTATTTATTAGGTATTTGTTAGTAAACTTTATTAAATTTGTTTGTCAACATCTTTATTTAAACAAAAATGATGCGTTAAATATACGTTTTTGATAGTTTTCAAGAAATGAATATATTTATTCCCTAATGACTTCGTTATCTGTGTTTAATGGTTTTAAAATGTGTTTGAAGTAAATAAACGACAGACGCGTTACATATTGAATATTGTCAGCACAGACACAAAGACAGTTGAAAACTAACTTTCGACGAAGTTAGATTTGTATCGCTTTAACTATTTACGATAATTATTTTATATTTTATAAACACTTTTTTGTATAAGTGCTCTTTTCTGATATACGAGTAGGTGTTCATGTTTCTGCCTTACAATTTGGTAGTGGTAGTGCATATTCGAGGAGCTATATTTATTGTGTAGTATATTAGGTAGGTACTTTAAAAGTTTATTAAACAGTAAAATATTGGTGTCTTTATAAATTTAATAAAAACAATTTAATAGTAGAATTATATTGTTACAATAGTAATGGATTTAGAGGCGGGTCCAAGTGAAACCCAATTACGTCGGCGAAAGCCCTTATCAAAGGATAAAAAGAACATTATATGGAAAGTGTATGATGGGCTGAAACAGACACTTCCTACAAATGAAGCTGTAAACCGCAGTTCTTTTTTAACTGGAGTATCTGTTTCAACAATTGAACGTATTGTACGCGAAAAGACAAAAAAGGCTCCTTAGAAGCACCTAAAACGCATAACCGTGGTCTAAAATTGTTGAAATTGGACGATAACCAAAAACAAATCATTCGAAGAACTATACATTCTTTTTTTTTTCGAAAACAAAGCCCCAACACTTAAAGTTGTTCTTACGAAATTAAGAGAAAACGAAGATATTCTATTAATGAGCCGTGAAACTTTACGAAAAATTTTATGGGGCTTAAAATTTCGTTTTGTCAAACGGTGTAGGAAATCAATTTTAATTGAGAGGTCAGATATAGTGTCCTGGCAACGGCGTTATTTACGAAATATTAAAGAGTTTAGAGCCGCTAATAAAAAGATATACTATCTCGATGAAACGTGGGTGAATGCTGGACACACGGTATCTAAGATGTGGCCAGATACTTCTGTAACTAGTCATCGCCAAGCTTTTATAGAGGGATTATCTACAGGTTTAAAAGCACCATCAGGTAAAGGACAGCGCCTAATTGTTACCCATATCGGAAGTGACAGTGGATTTTTGGAAAATAGCGCTCTCGTGTTTATATTGAAAAAAAAAACAGGACACTACCACGAGGACATGAATGCGGAATGCTTTGAAAAATGCTTTACTGAAGTATTACAGCGTGTAGAACAAAATTCAGTTATTGTACTAGATAACGCTTCTTATCACACAGTCGAAGAAAGCGGATATGCAAACCTAGTTGCGGGATAAAGCAATAACATTTACTGAGGAGATGCTTAAAGTGGAATTAATGGACCTAATAAAGGAACATCGCCATAAATATATTCAATATGTTGTCGACAAAATGGCTCGTGATTGTGGTATTACGGTATTAAGACTTATCACTGCGAATTAAATCCTATTGAACTAATTTGGGCGCAAGTGAAAGGGATTGTAGCTCGAGAAAATAAAATTTTTAAAATAGCCGACGTTCAAAATTTATTAAAAACCGGTATAGAACGTATAAAACCTGAAGATTGGCATAATGCTATTTCCCATGTAATTAAGGAAGAAAATATTATGTGGCTCTTGGACGGTATGATCAAAACGGTAGTTGAACCTTTAGTCATAACTTTAAGTTTCTACGATAAAGACGATTCCAGTGATAGTTCTGCAGAATCAATGGATTACGAAACTTCATAGATTTAGAATTCAAGTAAGTGATACCAAGCTTAATTTACATATTTTTATAATAAACAAAATAAAATTATAAAAATAGATGAATTATTATAACAAAAATAGGTAACCAACCTACTTTCATCTAGTAATATTCACAAATACCCATTTAATTTGCCAATATAGTATTTCTGCGACACTGGAAGAGTGCATTTTGATATGATAACGATACCTTTTGCAGTTTTAAGGCGCACCTTCTTTAATATTTTGTTCTAGTATAATACCCCATTTAATTTTCCAATAGTGTTTCTACGCCACTGGCATAATATTTATATATTTTAACAATAAACGAAACAAAATTATAAACATAAATGATTATTACTACAAAAATAGATAACCAACCTAGTTTCATATAATATTATTTACTATTACCGCATTTAATTTGCCAATACTTTTTATACGCCACTGGCGTAAT